ACACTGTCGGTCTCTCGAAGTTGTTCTCCTCTACACAAACAATACGAACTGCATTGCCATTTACTTGAGCAAGTTTCCTCCGTAAAGTACCTGGGTGTTACCATTCAAAGAGAGGTCCGCTGGGACGAGCTTTTGAACTATGTGTGTAACAAGGCAAACAAGACCCTAGGGTTCTTAAGGCGTAATCTAAAGATTGGCAACTCCTATGTGAAAGAAACAGCATATAAAGCCTTTGTCCGTCCGGTTTTAGCTTATGTATCTTCAGTCTGGGACCCATTTACCCAGAAGAGCATTGATAGGTTGGAGGCGGTCCAGTTACGGACAGCCTGTTTTGTCCTTAACCACTACATGAATACCTCTAGTGTTGGCAGCATGCTGGAAACACTAGGCTGGTCACCATTGGAGGAACGACGACGACTATCCAGAATCTCCATAATGTACAAGTTAAATAATGGGCTGGTCCACTGCCCCAGCATTACACAGAAACTCGTCCCTCTCCCCCATAGACGAGGCCATGACAGGCATTTCCGGCTCATACCAGTGAGAAGCCAGTAAAGGAACTACTCATTTCTGCCAAAGACAATCAGGGACTGGAACAAGCTTTCAATTGGGACCTTTGAGGCGACAACACTTAACACATTTGCGTCATTTGCCTCTGGTCTTCCAACTAGAGACCGATCGAAAGTGATTTTCTTATTTCGGACTAGCCGAAAATAGGCCGAAAGTTTAAAATGACTTCCGGCCGAAACCAAAAAAAGGCCGAAAGTTAAAAATGACTTTCGGCCGAAGCCGAAACTGAAAATTAAATATTTAGATATCTTTAAATTCGTTCCCGCATACCTTCTGCATACATCGAAAATGATGGGGAAATTATAAATATTTACATTCTTTTTTATAAAAAAAAATGAGATAAAATCGTGAATATTAATAAATAAACATCTAATATAACATCTTGTTGTTAAAAATCGTTTAGTTTGTTCTTAAAGATCGATTATTTTTTGTTGAAAGATCGTTCAGTTTTTTGTTAATGATCGCTTTATTTGGTCTAAAATATCTCTTAATTTGTTCATAAAGATCGCTTTGTATTTTGTTAAAATCGTATATTTTGTTTTTTAAGATCGCTTAGTTTGTTCTTAAAGATCGCTTATTTTTTTTTTAAAGATCTTTTAGTTTGTTATTAAGGATCATTTAGTTTGTTCAAAAAAGATCGCTAAGTTTTTTCTTAAAGATCGCTTAATTTGTGTTATTAAAAGATCGTTTAGTTTGTTCATAAAGATCACTTAGTTTGTTCATAAAGATCGTTTAGTTTGTTCATAAAGATCACTTAGTTTGTTGTTAAAATTGTTTATTTTGTTTCTTAAGATTACTTAATTTGTTCTTAAAGATCGCTTAGCTTTTGTTTAAAGATCTTTTAGTTTGTTTTTAAATATTATTTAGTTTGTTTAAAAAAGATGGCTAAGTTTTTTCTTAAACATCCCTTAGTTTGTGTCATTAAAATATCGTTTTGTTTGTTTATAAAGTTCACTTAGCTTGTTCTTAAAGATCTTTGCTTTTGTTCTTAAATAACGCTTAGTTGTTCTTAAAGATCATTCAGTTTGTTCTTAAAGATTATTTAGTTTGTTTTTATAGATCTTTTAGTTTGTTATCAAAAATCGTTTAGTTTGTTCTTAAAGATCGCTTATTTTGTTGTTAAAGATCGCTTAGTTTTTTCATAATGATCGCTTAGTTTGTTTTTATATATTATTGACTTTGTTCCTTAAGATCGATTAGTTTGTTCTTAAAGATCTTTTAGTTTGTTTTAAAGATCGTTTAGTTTGTTCTTAAATGTCGCTTAGTTTGTTGTTAAATATCGTTTAGTTTGTTCTCAAAAATCGCTTTATTTGTTCTTAAAGATCGTTTCGTTTGTTCTTAAATATGGCTTAATTTGTGGTTAAATATCGCTTTCGCTGAGTATTAAATGACCGAAAACCTCAGCCACTTTCGTCCGGATGGCCGAAAGTCTAAGTCAATTTCGGCCGAAACCGAAAAAAAAGAAAGTTAACTTTTCTCAGTCGGCCGAAACCGAAATTAAGCCAAAAGTTAACTTTCAGTTTCGGCCGAAACAGAAATTTGGCCGAAAGTGATGAAAGGGCCACTTCCGGCGCCTAAACCGAAGCAGAAGCCGAAATTCGGTCGGTCTCTACTTCCAAACCCCATGATATCCTCACAAAGTAGTCCTTGCAACAAATGAAATATCCTCATCAACACCAAACACAGAAACATTGCAGATCCCCTCCGTATACATAGGAGCAAAAGTTATCAATAACTTGATCGTGGGCCCTGAATATATAGAAGAAGAAGACAATTAAATAAGATGGAACAAGACATAATTCTGGTTTATTTTATTGTTCTCCAACCAGGCTAGCATGGTATTTTTCGATGAGCAACAAAACAAATTTAGTGGTGATGTCATCAATTTAAACATTTAAAAATATTTGTGACCGCTGTTAATGCTAAATGTGAGGTGCAAGAGATTTTTTTTTTTGATACAATAAAATTTCTTGATGAATATTTATCCTATAACTATGGCGAACTATCATTAGATAGGCTATTAAAAGGTTCACGAGGCACTGACAACTTTGCCACCGTTCGTCTACTTCAGAACCTGCTACCAACCAAGAGCTAACAGCGAAACAGTCGGTATAATTACCCAGCACGATTAAGGAGCTACCACGGAAGACATCCATTTTTTTTAAAGTGCTGAAACGGGAGGGGTGGGGCCTGCATTAATCTTATCAAAATTAGCCTTGAATTATAAAACTAAGTTATAACAAATAATTATTCCCTAGGTATGTTATGTATGTATTGGCTGTAACGCTGTGTTCAAAAGGAACGCAGATAGTTTTTTTTTATTTTTTTTTTTTTTATTATTATTTAAATCCCAAAAGTTAGCACCAATTAGGATCCTTTTACAATTGCATAACTTGAATACGAATACGTGTTTTGTCGGGTAACTTTAGCAGATGGGAAGTTCACACATTTCCGCTGCCATTGCTGTACGGTTGTTCCTTTTATTTTAAAGTTTTTGATCGTGTCATGATTAATGACTTGTAAAGAATACATTTATTTATATAACTGTTACATTTTACAGAGTGCCCTTTTCAACGTGCTCGTTTATATAAACGCACACCCTTCTTCTTATACCTTTTTATAGAATGAAAGGGCACCTTTTTTAAAATAAACCCTCTTGGAAAGGGGGGGGGGGCTTTCTTCCGGGAAACTTTATTGTTAGTATATTGGAAGAGGGGGGCTCTCTTCCAGGATAGTATATTGGAAGAGGGGGGGCTCTCTTCCGAGATAGTATATTGGGAGAGGGGGTTCTTTTCTGGGATAGTATATTGGAAAGGGGGGGGGGCTCTCTTCCGGGATAATATATTGGAAGAGGGGGGCTCTCTTCCGAGATAGTAAATTGAAAGGGGGACCTCTCTTCTACGATAGTGTATTTGAAATGGGGCTTTACTTCCGGGATAGTGTATTGAAATGGGACCTCTATTCCAGAATAGTGAAGTGGAAGAGGGACTCGATTTTATCCAGCCGCATTATACCCGGCCAAATTTTGTCTACTTGTTAGTTTGTGGAATGTAAATATTGTCGTGATCTAAGGTAATGAATTTTCCCAGGCGGTTTGTTTATCGTCTCAAGCATAGCCTCATGCCAGAGAAATAATGAAATATTGAGCTGGAAAAAACAGGACCCGTCTCTCAGACAACATGCCCTGACATGGAACTGTTTTTTGGTAACGCTACCAACCCGTCTCTCTGACAAAATGTATTGACATGGGAACTATTTTGTGGTCTCTCAGACAAAATATATTGACATGGGAACTATTTCTTTTGGTCTCTCAGACAAAATGTCCTGACATAGGGAATATTTTGTGGTCTCTCAGGCAAGATGTCCTGACATGAAAATTATTAACTGGTCTCTCGGACAAAATGTTCTGAGATGGGAAACTATTTTTTACTAAATTAATTAAAACACACAATGAAATCAATAAAACAAAATTGCCCAGACCATTGAGCCACGTGATTTCCTTGTGATTTCCTCAACTGTGAGGATGCGAGTACCTCTAGAATGCTTATGCTTAACAACGTATTGGTTTAAAAAAACAATACGGAGGCAAATAAGAATTTAATGCCTAGATTTTTTGAGGTCAAGATTGTAATGGTGATTATATCAGATTATCGTTTCTTTTATGTCTGTATTTCAAATCCTTTGATTTCAAGTACAAACTTCTTAGAAAAGTAATTAGATTTTTTTTTAAACTACTTTTTTGAAATGACTGTTCAGGTATTTAAGTAGTTTGCCCATTTCACTAAAAGAGATGAAAAAACAATAGAAAAAGATGCATTCAAACTTTCATGTGACAATGCAACTGTCTAAGGTTCAGTGAATCAACGAACTTATCTCTTCGCATAAGACCACTCAAAACTTAAGAGGAAAATTAAAAGTTATTTGAGGGTTTAAAAAAACAACTAAATTACATTTTTCAAGAAAACGTTTTAAAAATGATATGAATAAAACATTTATGGAGTTGTGAAATGGAAAATTTAATACGTTTTTTCAAGTTCTAAAATTTAAAAAAAAATGATACATATATATATTTATATATATATTTAGTGTTTATTATTGTATTAGACAGCGTTTACGTTTCTTAGTTTGAAAGGCATCTCTTTCTTCTCTAGATTGTTGTTTAATATTCTCTATTGCCTTAATAACATTCGCAATATCGTTTTGGTAACCCCTCTTTAACTTTTCCTCCTGCTGTTCCATTCGTACGATCATTTGCTTTCTGAGAGCTTCTATGTCACGGACGCTCTTCCCCCTCTCTTGCAGAACGCTTTCGCAAATCCTCATGTTTGTTTTGATTGACGCTTCAAGTGCTTCGATGGTTTCAAGAATTTTCTTCAAGGCTCCCGTCCCTTTGTCTTGTTCTCGAATGCTCTTTGTCTTGTTCTCGAATGCTCTTTGTCTTGTTCTCGAATGCTGGCAGAGATCCTTTTAGCTTTCTCTAGAAGCACGTTCAGCTCAGCGGCTTGTTCTTCCTCCGGCACATTTTCAACTGCCTCCAAATCGAGCAACATCAGTTTAGTTTCTGCCGTTGTTTTGTCCTCGATCAATGGGATACGTGACTCGACTAACATCTTCTTCCGAGATTGTTCCGCTTCGTCGAAAAGCGCATTAGTATATCGTCATCCTTTTGACTCCAACGAGTCTAAAATTGTAATGAGATCGTCAAGCTGCTTCTCTTTTTTACTCACATCTTTGGTGCGGTTGTCAAACAAAACTGCTCTGTTTCTGCACTCTCCTAAAAGATTTTCAAACTCGCCATCTTGCTCGTCACACCAGTCTTCAAAGTTTAGACCCGTCTTCCGTGCGTCACATTCAAAGTTATCTCCGTTTATTCCCATATTTTGCAATCAATATGAAAGCGTTGTACCCTCTCGGATTGATGGCCACGGCTTCTGATAAAGCGTCTGTCACAAAAGCAAGGGTGTCGCCCGCGGCCTTCTCGGACTGTGAGAGCGTGTCTATCACTCCCGGGGCATCCACGACCTTAAGAACTCGATCTTTGTATTTAGCCACGTCCCATGTCACTTTTTTGGTTACAGAATTCATGCTAGATCCTTCTTGGATGGCTTTGTATCCAAGTATTGAGTTTCCGGTTGAACTCTTTCTATTTCCAGTTTTTCCAAGTAACAGTAGGTCAATTTCCTCAGAGACCTAGTTTGAAAGTTCAAAGTATAGTTAATAATTTTAAATGCATTTTTATGTAGTGGTGTGGTGAAAGTGCCGTGGTTCCTAAGATGAGCCAATGGGCAGAATGTTTAAAGAAAAAGGTATGTTTAATGATCCAAAGGGTCGTAAGGAAATGTCTAGCACGTGTGATGATTTTAAAGGATGTGATAAGAGCAAGACTGGCATTGGGGGACATTAACGTATGTTTTGAGAATATTTTGGCAATTATAAGATTAAAATTATTGTAGGCGATGATTGCTTAATACAGAATTACGTTTTTGAGAGAGGGTGAAGAAATAAATGAAGTATAGATGCTACAGGACAGACATTTACTTGTCTCGGGAGGACAGAATAGGGTTTAGGATTTCAGTTAATGTTAAATGCAGTTTGGAAAAAGAAGGGTGTTGACATAGTTAATAATTTTGTTGAGAGGCCGGGTAATAGAGATAGTGTGGCAGTAGTTGGGGGTAAGAGTGTGAATGAGTAGGGGTAAGAGCGAAATTATTTATCGGTAATTGGGGGTAGGCGAAAGAGATTAAAGTAGGTTCAGGTGTGGTCGAAGAGGCATTGTGTGCTAGTTTGAGTACGAAAATGTAGGGTTTATGGAAATTGTCCTTAAAATAGGCTGGTGTGGTTTATGACAAAACCGAAGTGGTTGAGAGGAAGAAGGGCATGAAAATTTGTGATGCGTGAAAATGAGAGCTTCAGAAAGTGAACTAGTGGAATGAGACAGTAGAGTATACGTGATGAGAGCATCCGTTCGAATTTAAGTACATCGTACAAGAATAAAATCAACACAGCCACATATGTGATCGTGGGAAGACTTTTTGCAAATGATTATAAGTGTACCTTTAAAATGAATAATCAATGAAGGACTACGTTCAAAGCCTTGTGAAGGAAGTGTTAGGACAAGGTATGTGGAAGCTTGAATCAAAATACAAGACAATAAGAGAAGAAGGTTTCATCTTAGAGCCTCTCTCGGCAGACAGGACATATGAAAATGGACCAGAAATAGAAACTGGGGAAAAATTCAAGTGATCGCCATTGTTGTTGACGAAGGTTGGATTTTTTTTATATAGATAACGTGTATTTTTTATTTTTTACAAAATAAATGGAAGAAAGAAAATTTTCAAACTTTTCAAAAAACTGTAAGGATTTAGTAAAAACAAGTTTAAAAATTAAGGTATGATAATAATTTTAAGTCGTAGATATTAAAAAATTTTCATTAACTTTTATGTACTTAAGGAATTTAATTAATTGGTGATCAAATACTTTTGGTCACATCTCTCTGTCTATAGATTTCATCATATGACTGAAACTTTTAAAAACAACAATTTGTGAAAAGCTTGACCTCACCCACCAGAGTACTAACTACACCTGACTAGCCATGGACAACACCCAGCAAAATCAAGCTTTGTTTATCAGTCGGGGGAAGGGGTGTGAATAAGTCTGTGTAGTAGCGTTTAAAGATATGGGACTGGAGGCAGATTTGAATTTTGATGGTCGTTTTATTGCGAATGTGTAATGGGAGAGAATTTCGTTGTTTAGGGCACACAAAGAAAAATATTGGTCACCATAAGTCTTAATGCGCGTTCCGGAAACAAAGAATACGCGTGTCTGCGTAGGAACGAAGCTTTCGAAATGGTCAATAGACAGTAAGAAGTTAAGTAAAATGAGGTGAGCGACTGCATAAGTAAACCCTTCATATGATGTATTTGGCAACGAAATGTTTTTAAGAAAAGCAAGCTTGAAATGTTTAATTTAAATAAAATTAATAAATCATTTCCATTAACGTTAATTAATCTCTTTAAAGACAATATGTTCACAGATTAAACAAACATAAAGTGTTACACGTATATTGACAAATCCATTGTAACTCAATATTGGAATGTATTTAATGTGACTATTACATGAAAAACGTAAACTGTTTATTTAGAAATACTTCAAATAGCACAATTCATTAGCTGCCCTCTCAGAAACTACCTCTAAGCTAAGTGCTGTTTTAAAATTTTAATTGCATTCTGTTTTTTATGTTGTTTTGTTGGGTGACGAAGGCTTTCTGCCGACATATTTGTTGTTTTGTTGCGTTCCGGTGTCTGGTAAGTGTTCTATGCTTTACGATTAAAAAAAAATGTCCTTCTCAAATTGAACGACACTGGAATAAAATGTGTACACTGACTTTCCCGGGGAAAAAAAACTTTAGGGAATAAATTTCTCAGGAATAATCAACCTTTGAATTGGCTACATAATACCATGGACTATCATTGCCAGGCAAGCGTGGAGACAATGGCTTCCGTTTACGTCTTCACTAAGCAGACGTCATTTCCCAGGAAATCATTTAGCTACAGCCTAAGTTCTTGACACGCTTGAACGACACTGGAATTTGGACACCGACTTTCCCGGGAAAAAAAAACAGCTTTAGGAAATAAATTTCTCAGGAATAATCAACCGTTGAATTGGCGCCATAAAATCAGGGACTGTCTAGGACGCTGGCTTTTAAGGCCCGGGCAGTGTCATTTGTCTGGGTTACTACAACTTTTGAAAATATTATCAAGGTGTCACGGCACACAACAAAAGTTGAAATCCGCTGGATTTGGACAAGCCACAAAAGTAAAGAAATAAGGGTATAAAGAAATGTATCCAAAAATGTATTGCCTATGCTTGTACTATTATGTATATTTACTAGTACATTTAAACAAAGTTGGTTTGGTTTTAGTTTCTGGACAAATCTAGCTTCATAAACTGCTTAGCCTTAGATTCAGTAGATTTGAACGTTCTGGGTAATGGTTCAAACTTTTTGAATATTGAGTTCTTGCACATATAAAGAGATTACTTCGATTTGTAACTGGTTGTTTTTGTGTTGTTGTTTTGTTTTGTTTTTGTTTTGTTTTGTTTTATTTTGTTGCTTTTTTTTACATTTTTTGTTTTTTGTTGTTTTTTTAACTTTGAAAAAAAAACATGGTTGCATGGCAAATGGTCAAATATCTAAAGAGTGACGGCTTAATCTAGAGAAAACTTGAATTGTTTTTTTTTTTTTTAAGTTTATCATTTCTTTTCTTTTTATTTTATACGTACATCATGGTTACATTGTAATAAACGTTAAAAATACTATGCTGAAGTTAAATTGCGTTAATTGTTATGTTAAATCTCTTTGCCACTCATAAGATTTAAATAGCCAACTTCGTAACGTAAATTTCAAAATTTCTTTCAAATATCAATTTTAAATTGATCGAATTTGACGAACAAATTGGGAGACTGACAGATAGACGCAACGACAGACGGACAAACGAATACATAGACAGATGGACATTTAGACAAACAGAAACATAGATCGACTCAAATATGAATAGACGAACTGATTGACAAATGGAAAGACGGACAGACGAATAGATTTATTTTCTGTCGCACTGACTGACTAGATTAACAGAGGGATAGACTCGCACTCAGATAGTTTGACGTACTGAAGAACTTACATTTAGAAATCAAGGTTACGTCTTCACTAAGGAGACGGCGTTTCCCGGGAAAGCGTTTAGCTACAGCCTTAGTTCTTTGACACGGTTGGGGAAAAATGTGTTACGTTTCTTCAAAACACATGCCAATGTTTAGTAGCTGTCGAGCTGTGCTAGTTTAGTTCACGTCAACCGCCTGCAAAGGGAACAGGCAAGGTAATGACAGTTGACATTAATTTTGAAATGTTGTGTTTAGTGTGCTGTTTCTAACCGTTTCTTTAAAGAATGATTTCTTTATTTCATTTTATGTTAATATTTTATTTTATTTTATTTTAATGTTGTAAACATTTCAGACAATATAAGTGACTTGATAGGACGTTGCCAACTCCATTATAATATGGAAAACTATCCAAAGAAGGACCGAAAGGTAATTAGTATAATATATAATAAAGATATCCCTTATATAAAAAATAATATTTCAATGCATTGAGTGGCCATGTGTTTGCTAATGAGATATAAGTTGAAAATTTGGCAAATTAACTAATGAATTTGTTTCAATTTAAATAGTGATCAAAGTACCATATGTAATTACTTTTTATTATAACGTTTTTAGTTTAATCAGACAATAGTTTTAGATTTAAAGTCGAACGTAAGAGCAACACTGACTAAGCTATTGTAAGAACAGCATTGACAGTACTGCTGTAACAGCAACACTGACTCTTCTGCTGTAAAAAAGACTGTCAGTTAATGTATGTTTCAAGAATTTAGTACAGTTGCTAACTGGGAGAGTAGTCAGGTTGTTTTCAAAAAGAACGATCTTTGATATGGAATAACTTGCCTTGATAGCGTTGACTTTGACTTTAAACAGAATTTTTAAAAAATGCCGTTTATGAATAAGAATCGTTCATCTCACGCATACATTGTACTTTGGTAACGCACAAAATAAGTCTTGAGACTACGGAAATCATAATTAAATCAAAGATCGCTCAAAAGAATATCATTATGTTTCATATTATTATTAGTCATTGTTGAGGAACAAAAAAGTAAAAATTGATCGCAATCGTCTAAGTATACACTCTCGGTGAAACCTTTATTCTGTTTGTGCAACGGTCGTCTAATCAGTCTGGATTATGCAGAGGTGTTATATTTTTCTGCGTGACAGTCGTGTACGCTTCTGTCATGGGTTCATTATTCTGGTCCTCGAGTTTTCTTTAGTAATGCATTTCGCACCTCAGTTCATTGTTATGGATACGCAGCATTGAGGATCCATCACTTTTTCATAGACCACCCAATACATCACTTGAAAAGGTGGTTTGATTTGTTAGTGAAAATCGGGAAAATCAAAAGTCGGTACTGCGGGAAATAACACAATTTCCGGGTTATCATGTAGATCAGGCCTGAACAACTCAAAACGGAAAGTGGGCCGTAATACTTTAGGAAAAACTTGTGCGTCCCAAAAGAAAGTAAGAATTGACTTGTGTGGGCCAAAAGAAAGTAAGAATTGACTTGTGCGTCCCAAAAGAAAGTAAGAATTGACTTGTGTGGGCCAAAAGAAAGTAAGAATTGACTTGTGCGTCCCAAAAGAAAGTAAGAATTGACTTGTGTGGGCCAAAAGAAAGTAAGAATTGACTTGTGTGGGCCAAAAGAAAGTAACAATTGACTTGTGTGGGCCAAAAGAAAATAGGTCAAGGGGGAAAACGCTATTTAGAAAATAATAAGAATAAGGAATATTTCGTTACTTCACGGGTTACAAAGGGGGTGCTGGCTAGCTGCATGTGGCCTTTCGGACCGTATGTTGTGCAGGGCTGATGTAGAACACCGTTCGGCTGCTGATTAACAAATCAAGATTAATACCGACTGTAGAAAAATCAATTTTTTTCAACTGAATTAGTAAATGACATTCAAAAGCCACCCAAACAAACATATTTTTCTTAAAAATGAGTGAATTCATTTTCAAATTGATGTGTCTGTAGTTCAGTTCTTTTAAAACGATGCTTAGTTTTGGTGACAGTAAACAATGTATCCTTTCTGACTTGTAGTCAAAACCATGAATCAACCTCTATAACTTCCATCCGCGTGAACTCTAGAAAAGAGACACTTATCGCATAACTCAGTTACACTTTTTGATAGAACCAAATTGGAAGATAATGCCCTCCACAAAGAAATTTGTTTACGCTGATTCGGTGCTCATACCACATGTGATCCTTTCAGGAAAACCGTTTGACATTAAAAGGTGTCTCAGTTACCAATACATGTTTATATTGCCATGACCTTGAACACATATCTACATCAGAGTTTGAGCGTGGGCATTGACCTAACGGAATATTGACGTAGGCAGCTGGTCAGTTTAAGTTCCTCCTACTCACTGATGTCTAAGATGAAGTGAAGAACCTCATGTTTAGTTGACAAAGAAGTATTTAGATTTTTGTCATGATTTTCAAAAGCCAAATTAGCTATATGTTGTTTTATTTTTTTGGTCGGCTTTATTGTCTGAATACGAAATCTTTTCTGGTCACTTAAGAATGGAATCCTATCTTTCATTTGTAGATACGCCACGACTAGAATATGTAAAAATAATCAGTGGAATCAGTGTTTAAACCATAGACAAAAAAACTGATAAAACCGGTGTTCCAACTCCAAAAATCCATACGAGTGATACTGCTGATGACAGCCATACGGGTTGTAAAGACTTCTTACACATGTACACATGCAGCCAGATTCAGACAGAATGCCGAGACACTTTGAACACCATCGTTAACGTTGTATTCTCTCTTTCCAGATTTCAACAGAGCTGGATCTTTTGCTGCTTGGAAAAACTGGAAACGGCAAGAGTGCCACGGGCAATTCCATACTTGGTTACAGGGCTTTCAAAGCTAGTGCCACGACGACGTCACTTACCAAAACAATTAGCAGCGATGTGGCGGTTTACAAAAATCGTCAACTGACAGTCGTGGACGCACCGGGAGTGGTCGACACGCTTTCCCTTACTGAAGAAAATGTGGGTGAGGGTCTTAAGTTCGTTACAGAAAAATTATCAGACGCTATAGCCATGAACCCCAGAGGCTATAACGCCTTTCTTCTGGTGGCCAAGTATGGGAACAGGTTTACGCAAGAAGAGTTTGAAGCCGTAGAAACTCTGAATAAAATATTCGGAGAGGATTTCGTTCGGAAGTTTTGTATTTTGGTCATCACCAACGGGGACAGCTTTGAAAACGATGCCGAGGATAATAACGGTCCATCATTTAAAGAATGGTGTGATCAGCAAACGGGTGAATTTGAAAATCTGTTAGCGGAGTGTAACCAAAGAGCGGTATTGTTTAACAACGGTACCAAGGATCAGGAGAAGAGAGAGGATCAGTTGGATAATCTCATTGAAATTATCGAAAAGCTTGATTCTAAAGGCAGACGTTATACGAACGCGCTCTTTGTCAAAGCGCAAAAATCGAGAGAAAAAATGTTGATTGAATCGCGTGTACCTCTCATCTCGGATGAAACTCTGAAAGAAACGAGGCTGATATTGCAAGATATGCAAGTGGCACTGTCGATTCAAGATCCGGCAAAACAAATTTCAGAATTGAATGAAATATTGTTACATGTTCAGCAAATTGTTGGTGAAATTCAAGACCAAGACCGAGGTACGGGCGCCCTGAATGGTATTCTAGAGACAGTTCAATCCCTCGAAAATTCTCTTAAATATGAGATTAAAATAGCTCAGAAAATTATGGAAGAAAGAAACAGGCTTAGTGAGGAAAAAGAGAAAATGGAAGAGGCGATTAGAGCAGAAACGGAAAAACGCGAAAAAGAACTACATCTTCAATACAGGAAGGAAATGTCACTACTAAGGCAACAGCTTACCCAAACCGAAGAACAATACAGGGCAGTAAGAGATGAACACAACAGCAAAAAAACTAGTGGAAGCTGCGTAATACTTTAAAATGTATTGGCAATAAAAAGAAGGATTTTAAAATTATATTCAAGTTTTATATATTTCATATTGCATAAACTTTGTGAAGTAAATTTCCCTTTTCTTTAAAATTTAGAAACGTACACATTTTTCTGAGTGTAAACTTAGGTCATGAAAGAATAAATAGATAGGTTGTTTGTTGGGTTTTTTTTATAAATATTTGGACACAACAATTTGGTGAAACATTTTGCTTCACTTGAAGTGAACTTAATTCATTATTTGGTTTTTGATTGATGACAACCTTGAAAAGTCACCTTTTTAACCCGCTTGTTGTTAACAGATGACAAGTCAGTCTGGTTACACTTTTAAATGTTCATTTTTTTTCGGAATCTTAACTTACCGATTATGAAAGAGAAAGTCTTTTTTTTTTCATATTACGGCTGTGAATTAAATAAGCCAAACAATGTCAGTGAACGGTTTTGATTTTTTTTTATTTACCCCGGCATTAATTCATTGATTGATCTCTTCAATTCAATCTCAATTTGTTTTTATTTCATTGAATATCAAGAAACATGACTATAATGAGAGAAGAACAGACAGACGAAACCCTTAAAAAAAGAAACAACAATCTTGAAAACGTAAATCAATTCAAATGCCTAGGATCTTTAATAAATGAATGAAACGGTTTACTAACAGAAAAACGAGAAAGTATATCAGCCGGTAACAGGGCATACTTCAGTAGTCAGAATATACCCAGAAGTAAAAAAAAAAAAAAAAATTACAATAAAAACAAAGAAAATATTTAAAAAACTTTAATCAGACCTGTTGTCACACATCAAAGTGAAACTTGGACCCTAACAAAAACGTCAGGAAACCTATTAACACATGGGACGGACAAGTTGTCGGGAAAATATATGGACCACCAACTAAGAAATTCGAATGGAGAATACGAACCAACCAGGAATTTTACAGCCTGTATCAGGATCCCACGCTAGTAGAACAGATAAAAAGGGGCAGGCTATGCTGGAAATATTGTCAAATGACAGAGGAGGGAAGAGGCTGCATCACAAAAACCCCAGGGGAAAACGGCTCAAAGGCAGACCTAGGCGTAGATGGATGGATGATGTGGGAAAAGATCTGCATCGGCTGTGAATCCCAGCATGGAAAAGAAAAGCATCAGGACTGTGACGGCCCAGGGATGGCTGAATATCAAAAGACAAAAAGAGACTATGTTTTGATTATAGCTGTAGTGTATTCTGATGATTTACAATCAAAGGACAGTTGCTGCACCCTTCCCTGTGTCCAGACTAACTTTCGAAAAGAAAGAGAAAACAATTTCAATTGTTGGCACTGCTGGTTTTTTTTAGTCAGTGTGTCGTTTGTCTAGTATGTATTATCTCCCAGCACTCAATAGTTCATCTGACAAGTTTCAATGATAGTTGAATAAACAAATAAGATGAATTATCCAACGATATTAATTGTCCAATGTGATGAATTGTCAAATGAGATGAATTTTAAAATGAGATGGTCATTTTCCGTACCTAGATTTCTTATTTGTAAATAAAAAATTTAATTAGAAAAAAGAAAAAGTTTTTGTGTTATAAATACAATTGATCAGCAATGGTTTTAGTCCTTAAACATAAAAAATATGCCTGAGTGTTTATTTTTTCTCTCTGCTACTCAACCATTTTCTCATCAATCTGAATTCATTTTAATAAAAACGCACCACTTCAAAATGTTTATTTCATTTTATTTTTGTTTCGATTTATTGCTTTTCCCACCACTCACTCATCCTTGTGTTCATATTAGGAACGTTTAGTTTTTATTCTTCCACGGTGACTAGTCTTTTTACCGCCTTTTTGAGTGTTGGACAATTGATTACGTATTTACTTTTTACAATAAAATAAAGCGATATTGTTCAACACGTCTGTGGCATCTCAAAGCTGATTGAATCGAAATGGTACAAAAATTAATTTAATAAGTTAAAAACATGGTTTAAAATATTATTACTGTTCATAACCACCCAACGGTTAAAAAAAAACTGTGCAATATTAATTAAAAAATACAAAGATGCGTAATTTGTCTGGGCGCATATAATCCTTCAAAAATTGATTCGTTTTATTAGGTGATTGGAATTTTCGATCACTTGTTTTCATTCTACTCTCTAGACATACCAGTTTTAGCTCTCCTAAATGAATAACGAGAGAACGGTACCAGCATTTTTTTTTAAAGAATTTTTAAACACAATTGTATGCGCCCTTAAGTAATTCGTTCTCTCCTAGACTGCTCATTGTTATCAGTTCAAAACAAATAAAATTATAGTCGATTATTTTTTAAATTATTTTTAAAAAAATATTTTTTCATTTAACAATAAGCCAGGAAAAGAATTTAAGAAATTTTAAGCATGTTGCAATAAGTCTATGAAGTCAAGCAATTTTTGCCCCACATTGCCAACCCACCCACCAACAAACAAACAAAAATCATCACAAATTTTAACAAAATTCAGACAAACTTGCAACAGCATCGTCAAGCAACAAGAAGGGATAAGTTGTGTCAACTGTCACGAGCTCCTTTTTGGTAAGTGACGCTTGGGTCTAAAGTCTACACAAACTCTGACACCACCTTGTTTTCATGTGCCCAAGGGATCACAATGAGTATACAATAAACAAAAGGAAGTCCTCAATTTAACTTGAAATAACTAAGTCTAATTTATTATCTAAATGCACTTAATGAAACAACAGAAAGTATACAATGAATGCACTACGAGATATGCATGATATTATAACTGCGAACCATCCTGAAAGATATAGATCTAATGATAATGTGCATGCTTTTCATATAAGTGCAAATCATTCAAAGAACATATGCGGTGTACATCTGAGACAAAATACAGGCAACGTGACTGATGATTTCCTCGACCCGCTGCGGACTCTTAAGTGGGAGTCTTGTGGGACTGTCTTCGGTCTAACGTCTCGTCGCTGCTCTGTACGGATCTATGCACATTCCGTCACACGGCCACGTGCTTGTGATGATGTGTCTACTAGTATCTAGTGTCGACGACAATATAGGGTGACTCTTCCTCTCTATGTAATTCAGTGCAAAACTGGCACAAGGTAGGTCCAAATCGAATTCTTCACCCGCTTACTAACGTATGGGGCTGTGGTCAGTAGTGGTCTACCAAAAGGGTGTCGCTATATAAATTCATATCCGCTCGCCCCTCCCACGACCCTAATATTCAATGGCCCTATCTAGTCGTTGTCCACTTTCGCATAGCTTGACCTCAAAGTAGGTCGGTGTTCGCTTAAATCAATCACTGCCCCGGACGGGGGTTTTCCTACTTGGTAAGCTTATACGGTGAGGTCAGTGTGGTACCCGTCACAAAGAGATGAGCTCTACCCTGGAAGAATGCCAACAGCGTTTGAACGCGATAAATCTTTTAAATAGATTAATTTTACATCCCCAACCCCCTGTCTGATAATAGCCGCAGGGGACGCCCTCCCTCGACCCTGGCTGACCCTGGCCGACCCTGGCTAATAGTCACACTGTGACATAAACATCAATATAATAACCAGTGATTTGCATTTTTTTTTAACTTTTAATGAGAGATTTTGGTCGTAATGTTGTAAGTGTGGCCCAAAACATTCAGAGTAAATATGCAAACCTTTCCCCCACTTATGAACTTAAGGCGCCATGTCGCGTCATCAGCGATAAATGTAACTTCGCTAGCGATAAGTGTAGTGCTATTAGCGATAAGTGTAACTTCACTAGCGATAAGTGTAGCGTTTCTAGCGATAGTGTAACTTTACTAGCGATAAGTGTAGAGTTTCTAGCGATAAGTGTAGAGTTTCTAGCGATAGTGTAACTTCGCTAGCGATAAGTGTAGAGTTTCTAGAAATGGTGTAACTTCACTAGCGATAAGTGTAGCGTTTCTAGCGATGGTGTAACTGCACTGGCAATAAGTTTAAATTCACCAGAGATACGTTTATCATCACTAGCAAGAAGTGATTAACTTCAACATTTGAACACATGAGTTACAACACAGTGATGTTCGCCTGATGTCTGTGAATAAACGTTTCTCTGCCATCCTTACTTTTGCGCACGTTAAAGACAGTCGCAATGTGGAGCATACAAATAGAACCAGGACCTTTCAAAAACAAGACCAATTTGAAATGACAGTAGAGAGAATTTTAATATCCTTTAAAATATTGTCATTGTTGATTGTAATCAGAGACGTAGCGAGACATCGTGCCACCCAAGGTGAACTTTGAGATTGCCGCCCCCACCGCACGAAATTATTTAAATATGTAGTATGTTTTATTTGCATAGTGACAACTGGAAATAATGATTTTTGAAATAGCGCGTTCGCCTGCATATGCCTACTATCTCTACCCGGAACGGACTCAAATTTGTTAACATTAGCTGAACCTGCGAATAGCACCACTTTTGATCCGGTCGCAAGAGTTTGAGTTATTTTTTTCTAGGCATCACTGTTATAGAAATTTCACGGTGCATGACTTTGATGAGGGTTTGGAGAGAAGGAAATCACGGGGGCCGAAGGCTACCGAGCCAAAGTGGGGGCTCGGGTCTGGCGAGGACGCTCAAGCACGTGTTCTTTAAATGAACTAGACAGCTCCATACATTCCCTATATGGCTCAAGCACTAAAATTGTCTGATAGCACCTCTGCCTAGTCGTTTACAGATTCACAGAATCGTGCACAGATGCAGAGAATCGTGTACAATTGCACAGAGTCGGGTTCAGGTGAACAAAGATATTTTTCATGCGTTCAAAATGTAAAAACTTGTTCAGGATCCACTAAAGGGAGGACTATGTTATAGGTTGCCAGTGTTTATAGGTGGCTGTGTTGGAAATAGAAGATAATGTAGCAGACATAATGCACCAGAAAATGATATTGGCAGATATTGTCCAAAGCGTTTATCTGATACAAGGTGGTCGGCATTTGCAGATGCACTTTACATTAATTCGCATCACTGCGACATATATATATATATATATATATATATATATATATATATATATATATATATATATATATATATATATATAGATAGATAGCTTCATTGGAAACACATGGGTCTATTATATATAATCTACCACTGTAATCTAACACTATAATTTACCCCTATAATATATCACTATTATCTACCACTATAATCTACCATTATAATATACCACTATAATCAACCACTATAATCTACCACTATAATATATCACTATAATCTAACAATATAATATATCACTTAAATAAATCACTATAATATACCACTATAATACACCACTATAATCTACCACTCTAATATACCACTATAATCTATCACTATAATCTACCAATGTAATCTACCACTGTAATCTAGCACTATAGTGCAACACTATAATCTACAACTATAATGTAGCCTTATAGCCTACAAAATGGTTTTCAAAATGTTTATTTTGTGCAGCTAATTGAATAAACGTTTACTTGAAGTAACTGCAGTGGAGATAGTTCTTTCATTCATTTAAAAAGGATAGAGTCATCCTTAAAGACAACAACTGGTCAGGATAGACGGGCAATTTTTTTGTATTTTCTTGTAGGCATCGAAATGGACATTTTGACAAATCTTGACTTTCATGACGGCATTGATGCCATCTCTACATTGAAAGCGCGGCCGAAAGACTTTTAAATTCGATCGCAGTATTATAGCAACTGAATATGCAAATAATGAAAAAGCCTCTTTAAAATCCTTTCTCGGAGTTTGTTCGTTTCATTAAAAAAATAATGCATGTTTTCTTTTACAATGATTAGATAAGGTGTGTAAAGAATTATATTTTCTATTTCGACAAGTTTGCAAAAGGCATCCCAAATGTAATCCGGTTCAAGAAAAATACCTTATAAAAGAATAGACTACTGGTGTCTCTAAAAACAAACATACTTACATACAAACATGAATGCATGGATACACACATCTATGCAAATCGTCAAAACCGATAGACACCCTCTCCATGGACAAACATGTCACGAATATATGCAGATCAGCATATAACGAAATTAGAAAAATCAGCACCATTAGACACCTCCTCTCCTTTGATGCCACAAAAACTCTCGTCTCTTCACTCATTCTTTCAAAATTTGACTACTGTAACATTCTTCTCTCAGGCATTCCTCAACACCACATAGACAAACTTCAGAAGGCACAGAACTCAGCATGCAGACTCATTTTTAAATTAAAGAAACATGACCACATTCAACCACACATGCGGCAACTCCACTGGCTTCCAATATCCTCTCGCATCAAATACAAGTCTTCCAATCTTTGTTTCAACTCGTTCACTGACCCTCACTTTCCTGTCTATCTCTCTGAACTGTTGCTTCCTTACATCCCCACAAGACAACTACGTTCTTCCATTGACAGTAGAACCCTCTCCATCCCAAGAACTAAAACTAAGACCATCGGTGAACGCTCCTTCTGCTTCCATGGGCCCACGTTCTGGAACCAGCTCCCCTTCCATATACGTCATAGTGAAACCTCGTCCATTTTCAAAAAGTCCCTTATCACGTTCTGGAACCAGCTCCCCTTCCATATACGTCATAGTGAAACCTCGTCCATTTTCAAAAAGTCCCTTAAAACTCATCTGTTTAGGTCCGCCTATGACCTGTGATGCACCCTCCTTGCCCTACCTCATTTTCTGTTTCGGTTTAATCCAGAAGTGTCAAAGTGTCCTCTTTTTATAGCCATTTTCATTGTTTCTATAGAATAGTAGTTACTATCCTAGTGTCTCATTTGTATTTACTTAGTTTACTTGTTTTAATAATTGTAAAGCGCTTAGAGCTTTATGATAAGCGCTATATAAAAATGCCTAAATAAATAAATAGAAAAAACAACAAATATTTGTAGGGAGGTATTTAGTTCTTTGTGTCTCCATTTGTGGGTCTAAAAGTAATTTTCCTTCATAATAAAATTAATTTTTGACCTAAAATGTAATTGTTAGTTCATGTTTTAACGTTCAATTGATACACAAGCCACATGATGACCATAAGAACCAGCGTGGGCCTTTATTTGGAAAAATGCAAAGTAATTATTTATAATTGGATCTGTTAAATCCATGTTTGTGGGGGTGGTGGTAGTAATATAATGGATTAAATTGTCCTTATTTAAAATATATTATGTATAATAATAATGATAATAATAATAATAAAAATAATAAGAAGTCTTATATAGCACGGTACCCCAGCCTAGGGCTGGGCTTACAGCGCTGTACATAAAAATTGTATCAAAAGAGACATAATCATGACATTAAAATAAAGTACATTTATAAAATAAAGAACAGCAATGTATATTCACCCACCCCACCACATAAGGCAAACCATGGACGGCACACAGCAAGATCGTTTATCGGTCAGAGGAGGGGAATCAGTCAGGGTAGAATAATTTAAAAAGATATGTTTTGAGTGCAGTTTTGAAGGCCTCTGTGGTTGGTATATTGCGTATGTTTAGTGGCAAAGAATTCCTGAGCTGAGGAAAACCAACAAGAATTAATAACAAAGAAACCGGAAAAACTATACGTTTATTAAATATTCATATTCTAATGAAATGGAATGTTAAATAAACTTAATTTAACATATATAATTTGTTTTTAAATTAATTCAAGCATATTTAACAGTAACATTATACTTTAGGCCCACATGGTTTCCTCTTTTTTAATTCATTCAAAACTGTCCTACATTGTATCGTATTTAGCCAACACAATTTTTAAAAAATATGTTATTACATTTTTCCATACATTGTTATTACATTTTTTTTAGTTAGCATCCTTGTTCATATGCTATGTGAGCACACGTTTATTATTGTTCCGTTAAGTGTCGCTTTTTTAAAAAAAAACTTCAAAACAATGCAAAACTGAAACAAAGTTTAAGTCTATGTCAGAGATCAAATTACATTTTAAATTTACTGTGTTTATTTCCACTATTTCCTTTTAACCTGTTGTAACCTGTTGAACCTTCTAAATCAGCGGTTCTCAACCTTCCTAATGCCGCGACATTTTAACACAGTTCCTCATGTTATGGTGACCCCCAACCACAAAATTTTTTTAGTTGTTACTTCCTAAATGTAGAGTGTATTTGTTATCCGATTGTCTTAAGCGACCTCTGTGAAAAGGGTCGTTTGACCCCTAAAGGAATCTTGACCCACAGGTTGAGAACCGATGTTCTAAATGTTTAATTTGTTCCTAAGAAATGTAAATTATATTCGTATAATTTGTGAAACCATTATATATATTTATTTCATTTTTAAATCAAAGAGATAATAAATGAAATGTATTGAATAAATATGTTTAAAATTGAATGAAATCAGGATATTTTTTTATTGAAAATCGACAACAATTCTCATATTATTAATGATAAATTGTTTTTAAAAAATAATTTTATGAAACAAATAAAGCGATATCAAAATAGGGGAAAAGTCGCGTTTACTCCAGAAAATAAAATAAAAAAAGAATAAAAATGTACCAAGATTTAAATTGCTCATGATGAAAAAGAGTTGTTTTTTTTTTAAATATATCTGAACACAACACATTTATTTACAAAGATTTTACTAAGGAAAGAAGCGAATCGACCTGCTTCTCTTTAACGTTCCTTTCACGTGTCACGTTGTTGAATAAGACGCATCGGTAGCCGCACTCGGCGAATATGTTGCTCATTCTTGTATTCTGACCTCTACACCAGTGTTCAAAAGGCGTGACGTCCCCAAAGTCTATCTCAAAGCTGTCCCCCCGTGTTACCACGCACACGCCGAGGCGCTTGAGAATATCCTTTCCTAATCTGTCTTTCATTATTTCGATAAACTCCATATCTTTCCTTGAAAATTCGACATCGTACCTTAAAACAATTATCAGAGCAGACATGTTGTTACAGACAATTTCCGCGGCTTCTTTGATAATATGTTCCCAGGGTTCTTTCCGGTTTCCCTTTGGTTCCTTCATCAGGGCTACCTCCAGAATGTTTATCCTGGTACCGCCCCATTGACAGCTTTCTCTCTGGATCGGCGAAGGGGCGTGGTTCGAAACAGATGTAAGATTTTTGGAAGTTGAAAACGCTCTTCTGCCCATGATGGCGTTAGCAGTGGCGCTCTTGCCACTTCCTTCTCTACCAAATACAAGTAAGTTCAACGGCTCCAGATTGTCAGTGGGGGCAGCCTGTGAATTTACACAAATACAAATTCATACCAGCAGACAAAAAGTTTATACTTAAATTTTTAAATTGTATACATCAGATGTTTCATTAAGTTATTATTGATCTTAGCCTTTTTACTTTTTTTTTTAAAATAGTGTTTGGTAATGGTATAAATAAGATCTTTATTGAATTTCAACAACTAAAACTGTTATAAAGCAATGATGTCAACAAAAGTTTAACTATTATCAATAGATTTCGAAAAAATTACATGTATCTTTAGGAATCATGAAGATATAATAACCGTTAAAAATGACAATGATTTGTATTAGTAAATTGCATTGAGATATGTTTAAATTTCGTCCAACGTGACGTAATATCATTAAGAATAATTGTTTACAGAGGGTTAAAAAATATATATAAAAATTTGGTCAAATTTACTTATATTTCCGTTAAATTTAATATCGATAGCTGATAATTTGACGCTCCAGTTGAGTTTCCTTTTCTAGTTACTCTAGTCAACATTTTTTTTTCATATGTTACTCCAACTCACCATTTTTTCCGTTTTCTCAATTAGAATTTCTCTTCCAGTTGCTTTGCCGTCATTTTTCCTTGTTACACTTGAGAGTGCAAACGTTGCCCCACTCGAGCTCATCTGTCTCTTTAGTTCTTGTTTTTTTGTTAAAGATTGTATCTCCGCCAAAAGGGCTTCAACTGACACCTTTACTGATAGACCCTCGGAGGACGCTTCATCTATGGTGTCACACTGGGTAGCTAAGTGGTCTTTCAATGACTTTCCAAGATCCTCTAAGCGATCAGCGCTGCAATCCCTTTGTTCCAGGGCAGACAGGTGCTGTCTAGTGCTTCTAAGCAGATCATCCGTTTGTCTCTTGACTCTCGCCGTTTTACCGAGATGGAAAACTTTTCCGTCTTTGCTGACCTCTTCAAAATCAATTAATGTGTATCGGTCTTTATTGCGTTTTAAGAGATCGGACGCATGCTTGATCAATTTGTTCACCTGGGCTTGTTGTTCCTCGATATCCCTTGTCGTGTTGTCAAATAAAACGATTCGTCTGCCGCATTCTTCATACATGTCTCGTATTTTCCCTTTCTGTTGTCCAACCCAATCGTCCATGTTTCTTAGTTGTTGGTCCCCCTCCTCTGCTTCCCTTTTAAAATTATCTCCGCCCGTTAGAACAACGATTCCAAATCTACGCCAGACCTCTTCGCCGAGGACCAGCTTTGCTGACTCGACAACCTTCCAGTCCTCTTCGCTGAATCTGTCTCCGAATTTCAAAACGATCAGCAGAGCTGAAAACCCACCGCTTTGCTCGAGAGCCTCCGTCACGTCCACGTAATCAGCTTTCTCGGCGGCTTCCCTGATGTTCAGACCGTCCACAACAGTGACGCGTGCGTCTTGTCTTTCACAACTTTCGTATGTTGGTCTGGTCATTTCTTGAATACTATTGGACCGACGAAAAAAATGCTTTTTCCTTAAAATGGAGTTGCCTGTAGCACTTTTGCCAGATCCGTTTCTGCCGAGAAGGAGGAAATCGATAGTATTCAAGGACATTTTTCTGTGGAAAAGTTTGGGAAAATGTGATTAAATCTCTGTTTCTAAAAATAGATGGCTAATTTACATTTATTCAGTGCACAAAATTGTATATGACAAGCAAAATTGAGTAAGGACTGAAATTCATGAAACAAGGGCAATCTTTGAATATCAAAACTGTTAAATAAAATCAATGCAGAAATCTAGCGCAAGACAACAGGAATGAATCCAAACGTAAAATCCTGAGAGGGAGTCCCAAAGTCGATCAGCTGCTGATACCAATGCCATTTAAGCGAGGCAGTTAGTGCCAAGCTGTACTGACATCTGTCAGTCCTCTGGGATCCACTGGCTGATTGTAGAATGGGGATCTGCTGCATTGGCAGCGGCTTGTCTCCATAAAACACCGCCCAGACTAGTATCTGTACTAGTTGTGACACCTCAAGCGCAGCAGAGCAAGGAAAGTTAATGGATGACAGAAAGCCCATGCGATAAATAGAACATTACGGTAGGCACAGAAAACTCAATAGAAAAAAATTGTTATAAAATGCAGGCAACGCAAATAATTGTATAAAAGAATCATTTTTAATAATTACAATATTAATGACAAGTTTGAAAGGAAAACAGAATAGCCTTGTAAATGATATAATTTTTAAGCAATTCTTGGCTTTATTTTATAGCTGAGAACTACTCACAAATACTTAACAGTCAATTGTTATATTTTTAAAACACTTATAAATGTTTTAATAAATATTTTCTACTAAAAGAACACTAAAATTTTGTTTTAAGTAAATATAAACAATTTTCACAGAAACTTAACACACAATTATGTTTTTAATATCCAGATAAACACCTTTATTCCTATCCTAGGTGTGCAACCACTAGTGACGCTGTAGACGCTATATGAAACACCCAGCAAAATAATTTTCATTTCCCCGGCAGGTAATTCCTCATTCAACTGCCTCTTGACACGAAATATTTCGTGCCTACACATGCGACATTGATTTCACGAAATGTCCAACATTTTCTAGGTCACCATTTTGGGGGGTGTGGGGTGAATCATTATTGGCCTGTAGTCGGCCATCATGGACAGGTCGGCCATCATGGACAGGTCGGCCATCATGGACAGGTCGGCCATCATGGACAGGTCGGCCATCATGGACAGGTCGGCCATCATGGACAGGTCGGCCATCATGGACAGG